GGCTAAGGAATCACGTTGTTGGTGCAAGCCTTGTGCAAAGAAAAGGTGAGCACGAAAGAAGGAGGCTGGAAGGCGTGGTTTGCGATGGGTTGAAGATGGGTGGTGGATACCAGCGGACGATTGTGAGAGGTTGAAGGGTTGGGACCCATGGCCCGAGCCGACGGAGACGAGCGACAACAAAGAGGGTGACGACGATCGGCTAGTGGGCGAATGGCGTGCATCGACCCATGATGCGCGCGGTTTGACGGAACAAGATGATGTACGCGGGAGCACGGTAAGCGGGCAAGTCACGGGGGTCGACTGGAATGCATTGGCGTTTGGCGGCGGTGAAAGCGCGATATGCGCGGGAGGCGCACATGGCGCACACGTGAAAGGTAGCCTAGGCCTCGAAGGCCTAGGAATGGCAGCAGCACACGCGTGCGAGGAGTTCGCCAGCGAACGACTGCGCGCGACAGCGGGCAAGTGGGATGGAAGCGCGGATGGCCCAATCCTTGCGGGCTTAGGATTGCCGATGGGCGAGGGCGTGCACGCGCGGGGAAGAGTCAGTGACCAACAGGGGTGCGCGAGGTATGACGCGTGCGCAGACGGACAAGACCTAGTCCGCGCTGGACTAGCCGAAGCAAGGGCGGTGTGCGCGTGCGTGCAGCGCGCACAAGAGACCCAATCCGCCGAGGAGTGTGAGTGCGGTGGGCGCACGCGTGAGACACGCGAGGTGCGCGCATGAAGGCGGCCGAAAATACTTGGGCGTGTGATTTGGAATTGTTTGGAGTGCAAGCCAAGCAAGATCAAGATCTAGTTAATTAGGACTCTAGTATATTTAGTTTCCTTCTTGCACAATAATATCTAGATTGTTTAGGAATTTAATATTTTATTGCTTTAATATGTATCCTAGGTATATTAGAATTAGTCATAGTAAGGATCTATAAATAGGGATGATCCCTCATTGTTTTAAGAGAAGAGAATTGATGAGTTGAATAGAAAAGAACGTTTGCTCGAAACCGTGTGTTAGGATTCGTGAGAGTTCAATCATGCAATCGAATTGGTGAGGCTAAGACCCAAGCCAGTTCAACCGAGTTAGAGAGGCTAAGACCCGATCTAGTTCAAAAGAGTGTAGCGAGGCTAAGACCCGAGTGAACTCAAGTATCGTGAGAGAGTTAGGCTAATAACCGAGTCAATCACACCTATCGTCGAGAGCAAGGCCGTGGCGAAGCTGTGATCAAGACAAGTCGAGGGTAACGGAACACACGATCATTCATCATTGGTGCTTTCATTGAGAATGATTGATTGTGTGTTCGTTAACTTTTTCTATCCCATTCTTTTTCTTTTTTGGTCCGATTTTTTGTTTCTTTTTGTTCGAGTTTTTCGAATTTTTCCTCCAAATTTTTGAAAAATTTCATGAGTATAAAAAAAAAAAGTGTCATCTAGTCCTTTGTTTGATTTTTGTTCGGTTATTACCTTTTGTTGAGGGGCCGAACTTATTTTGTTTTATTTTTTGGTTCGACTTTTGTTCGAATTATTTTTAGAGTAAAAAAAAATGTCTTATGTGCCAATGGACGAGATGGATTGGGAAGATCTCGAGTTATTGGAGAGTTTGGAGAGTGAACTTACTCCATGGGAGAGCACATATCTAGACGAGCTCCATAAGCAAAGAAATCGAGAAGAATACGAGCGACAACTCGTAGAAGGCCGAGGAGGCCGAGGAGCAATGGTGGGTGAAGTTCAAAACCGTGAAGATGATGGTGTGCTAAATTTTGTAATCCTTGAGGACTAGGAAAGTCTTGAAGAGGAGGGGAATGATACGGAAGTGGTCATCAACCAAGGCGAGTCCGACGAGGAAGGTGACGATGGTCTCGGTATCTGGCTGGAGAACATGTTGGAAGAGCCATCAAGCCCGATATATCGACCGTCATGCAAGAGCGACTGGCCGAGAGGATGTGGTCCACGGGCTAAGATTAAGAAGCGCCGGGCCAAAAGACGACGCAAGGCCAAGGCTAAGGAATCACGTTGTTGGTGCAAGCCTTGTGCAAAGAAAAGGTGAGCACGAAAGAAGGAGGCTGGAAGGCGTGGTTTGCGATGGGTTGAAGATGGGTGGTGGATACCGGCGGACGATTGTGAGAGGTTGAAGGGTTGGGACCCATGGCCCGAGCCGACGGAGACGAGCGGCAACAAAGAGAGTGACGACGATCGGCTAGTGGGCGAATGGCGTGCATCGACCCATGATGCGCGCAGTTTGACGGAACAAGATGATGTATGCGGGAGCACGGTAAGCGGGCAAGTCACGGGGGTCGACTGGAATGCATTGGCATTCGGCGGCGGTGAAAGCGCGATATGCGCGGGAGGCGCACATGGCGCACACGTGAAAGGTAGCCTAGGCCTCGAAGGCCTAGGAATGGCAGCAGCACACGCGTGCGAGGAGTTTGATGCGG